ATTTGTGTGAATTACTTTTCTTATATTATTATAATTTTTTTAACTTACAACATGTAACTACATTAAACATAAATATATCAACTGAGAAATAATTTTATTTTTTTAATAAATTTTAATAAATATTATTATTTTTTATTATTATAAAAATAAATATAATTTATTTATTTTATATATACAATATGAATGTTAAATCGAAGATCATGAAAATATGATTAATTTGATATATTATATATGTAAAACCGATAAGAAATACAAAAGTTATCAACTTTTAAAATATATTTATAATTCAATAGCTAATTGAAGGAAACAAATCAAAAGTCAGGGATATATTAGTCACTTAGTGACTCATTATGTAAAATTACAAAGAATTAAAGGGTTATATTAGTACAAGTGTTATTAAAATACCTAACTTAGCTAAATAATATTTATGGAATGTCTGAACCTAGATTATTAATTATTAATATATAAATATTATTTGGCCAAACCTACTTACGAAGCATGATTCTTCGCCAAGTAGGATTTCGAAGCACCAGAAGCAGCCACGTAGTCTCAACGCATTCGGGAATTATATATAGGAGGGATAACGAAAATTTAACATATTCAAACATTGTCATTATATCGCTCTCTCTATCTCTCTCTCTCTCTTCTTACTCGCACCTTATCAATATATATTATGTCGATTTCTAGATAAGTTAAATTTGAAAATTTGTGTCAAAATCTTATAACCAACAATTAATTTTAAAAACTATAATATATATAAATTTTATTTACATCAATATTATTTTATTTTTTTCTTTTTACTTATAATAATGTATTATAATTATTTTATTTTTCCTTATAATCTATTGATTTATATGAGATGTGTTATGATATTGTAAATCAGAATATGAATTTTTAACAAAAAAACTCGTTCGAGATAAAATCAGAGGATCTTTTTGAACTCCTTGAGTAGATGATTCTGGGTATATGTCTCGCTACAAAATAAATAGAAAATCAAAAGATTATTGTATTATTGTGCTATTTATATCAATAAGATTTTTGAAATTGATTTCTAAATTTATTTTGTACTTATATTTTGCAATGTTATCACACATATTTCAGTCTACTGGATGCCCAACAAAATAAGAGAATAGATGATTTGTTATTAAGGATAAAGGTTTGCTTGTTATTAAAGATAAATAGTTAAATTTCTTTTGAAATTGTGGAAAATTACGTTTACAAGTTTTGAAAAATTGAACTAGTTGAGTTATTGGTAAATCAAATGATTCTAAACTAAATATATTCATTAAATATTTTTTTAAGATACAAAAAGATAATATTTTGGTAGATGGTTGGTTACCAAGTAAATAAGAAATTATCGTGATTTGTTATTAATGTTGATAAATAAGATCTATTGTAACGTGATAAATATAATAAAAAAATATTCAAAATTGATTTTAAATTTTATTTTGCAATTATATTTGCATTTTATCATGATATTCAAATAATATTTTATAAAAAAACTATTTCAAATGATGCATTTTTTAAGATGTTGATTACCAAAAGAATAAGAAATTTCAGTGATTCTTAATTCATATAAAGAATTGGATTTGTATTGTGATAATTATCACAAAATAATTTTCAAATAAATAGCATTTTATTTATATAGAAAGTCGTGCTATTAACCGAATTGCACGATATACAACATGTCCATATAATTTGATTTTAATTTTATTTATAAATATTAATGTAATTTTATAAGAATTTCCTTTGATATTAAGTCAGCTCATTTAGTTACAAAGTCATAGATACTATTTTAAATTATTCCATCAACCTCTTTCAATATATATATAAATTGTATTAATAATTACTATAGTAGAAATATATATCATATATATTTAATTACAACTGAATGCAACAATACAACGTAGTTAGGTGTAATTAAAATTTTGATTGTTTTATTTAAAAAATATATATTTTATAAAAGCTAATGTTTATGGAAATTTATTTCAATTGAGAGGTTATCTTGATTGAAATAAGGAAAAATTTAAAAACTTCTTTGACTCATGCTCACGTGTGAAAAACCAACTTGCTTTAAATGGAAAGTATAACATGGGACCCAAGACTTACTATATTTGGTATGAGTTGCCTAATTATATAGTTAATAGATTACTAGATATTGTCATTTGCAGATTGGAATAGAAGTAGTAGATTTGATGAAAGGAAAAAAATAATATAAGATTCGGATGACACCATCTAATTTCATTTTTAATATTGAAACTCAAATTTGATTTCAAAAAAAAAAAAATATTAAAAGAAAATATAATCCTAAGAAACCAGTATGTTCGTATAATTGAGAAGGAATTGTATACACGCACCATATACACCATATACATGGCAACATAATCTTAATTTCTGTTTACTAAGTTCTAAGTAAATATGTCAATGTTTTGTAATATCCAGTACTTTGCTTTTGGTTTCTTTTCCACTTTCCGAGGCCGATCTAATATAAGTGGTTACATTTAAGTATGATAATAACTATGATAATAACTGATAACTGTGTTGCAACCCACTAAAATGATCCCATTAAACAAAAACCAACAAAATTAATCCATAAATTAATAATTTTTTTCACTTATTGTATTTTATTGTCTAATTATTGTGGGTACAAAACGACATTTAAAAGGAACTAAAAATTAGGAAATTAATATATAATATACATGAATTTTAATCATTATTATTTTAAATTAATATTTTTTCTTTGTTCCAGGAAGATAATGCGGTTTGTATTTTTTGACTTCAAGTTTATACATAATCTATCAACATTTATACGTTGATTTATAATAATTATTTTAAATATTTCTTACCATATTTAATTGTTTAATTAACATAGTTCATAACATATTTTCTACTCCTTTCTGCACGCGTTACTATATTTTTGAGATCAACTAATCGTTTCTAGAGGCATGACACACCTATATACCTAGAATAATCAAATTTTAAGATAATATAGGAAATAATATAGACAAACAAACGACAGTTTCACAAATGAGAGCGTGATATTATGAAATGTAAAAATATATCAAAAGCCCGGCAGACACAATTTAAAAATGAAATCACATAAGGATTATACTTTCCGAAAGTAGTAACCAAAATAAATCTCTCTCTTTCCGTATCTTGAAACATTTTTCTAATAGATTAATTTCCTTACAAATAAATAAAAAAAGTTAAATAAAAATATTATTGTGACCCATGCTATAAAAATCTTTTCAAAATAGAATGTAGATGGTGGTACCCGCAAAAGACAACTTACTAAATTTCGAATGAGTTATCTCATTATATAGTAATTAGATTATTATTTGTTGTCATGGATTTGAGTACTCTTTTCTCTTTAATTGTTTATTATTTGGCTGAATACTACTAGTCAATCATCCTTTCCTCCCTTTGCTTCTCTTTTGGTTGACGTGAGATTGTGATGTACTACAAAGTTGATTCCAGGGAGAACCAAAACTAATAGAGCATTTGATGATTTACTGATTTCGTTGCCTAAAGCAAATTTTATGTTATCTTATTGTTTTCTAGCTTCGTATTCCTTGCTGTTTCGTATACCATTTACTTGACATCACTAATATATGTATGTGAATATGTCATGTGTGCGTATGGTGCATGTTCCAATACAATCTTATGTCATTTTAGTATCAATCTTATGTCATTCATGATACGAATTTTTGAAAATTGCAATACAACACGACTATTTTTTTTATTCTTCTTTCACGTTTTATTTTCTGCCCAACAAAAATTCTCTTATGTCTTGATGAATTTATGAATTTGTAAGATTCATTGACATAATAATCACTCATTGACAATCCTGTGATGTGTCATTACAAAATTGAATTGAACTGTTGGTTAGAGTCTTTTGATGCTTACCGTAGGTAAAGACATTTTCACAGGGAGTACATATGTGATAAATTATACATTTTCTAATTTTTAACGTGACAAGATTGTGGATTTTTTTCGTCACTCCTGGGGACTGGAGAAGCATGAGTCTTTGTTGCTTACCATAAATAAGAGACTTTTACATGGAGTAAATTTGATGCTTTCTATGTATACTGATATGTAATGTGACAAGATGTGATTCATTTTTTCACTTCTGGGGACTAGAGAAGCATAATGAACAAGCAAGTACAGAAACATAGTTGTCTCTGTGGGACAAATAGCGCTGTGTGCAGTACAAATAATAGATTTTAATAAACCATTCAGTAGGCCCAAAGGCTAGTGGCCTTCACAATGAAATGTGTGTGTGCGCGTATGTATTATATATAGTTATGTATGTGCATCGGTACATACACACATATCTTCTTATACATAAGTATCATCTGTTTAAACACCAATTGCATAGCCTTTCTCATCAGAATCTATTTCAAATATAAATTAGACACATCATTAACCTATTTGTCGACGGCTTAAATTTAAGCAAACTTTGAAATAGGATACACTAGCAATCAACATGATGAAGCTCCCAAGTAAGAAAGGAGAGGAAGAAGGGGAGGTTTAATGTATGGGAACTTTCATATACCTTTCCTTTCCTTTGTGTGATGTTTTATGTGGTCAATTATGTCTGCCATTTTGTGACAGATCAACATTATGCTTGTAATTTTGAAGCTGTAGTTATATTCTCATTTTGATATAGTTGTCCAATTATTAATCTTCGGATGACAGAAGCTCCCGTCGGAAGTATGTGAACTTGTACAAGGCCAAGTTGAAATGCCTCAGACATGATCAGGTGAGATGGTTTTCATTTGTTGAGAACACACACATGCACAAGCCATACATACTTCTTAAACTTCATTGTCAAGAATCAAACTCAAATCACATAGACATAGATGTGTTTAATATCTGGGAATGAATTACACAACCGTAAAATGGATTGAAATAAAATGAGAGAAACATTTTAAAATAATTGTTCTTAAGTTGAAAAAATTTCGGCCAGATGTGCTTTCGCGCGCTTGCGTGTGGTACAGATGGGGAAACACACTGGCCCATCACTGGCACTCTGCTGGTTTCACATGCCGAGATTTGGGCTGCCGGATTTTAGTCGAGGGTCGATTGACAGTTCGGCAGCTGGTGGCGAGTCTCCTGGGGTGGGTGGTGTGGTGAGGTCAGAAATTTGCCCTAGATTGGTCAACTTAGAATAACCCTAAGTAGGGTGTCATTCAAGAGTCTTTTTTGTTGTACTAAATGTATTGCAGAATCTTTATGGTGGCTTTACCATGATGTATTTGATGATAATTTCATTGTGTTGAGTTGTATCTATGGAGTACACCACATATAGCTTGGAAACAAATTATTAAAGGAAAAGACGAATCTATAAGACTATATTGGGTTGTTGGGCTTGATTTGCGTTTTCAGCGTATATTTCGAAACAGTTCATATCTTATTTTCAAACAAAAAAAAGTTTGTTCTAATTCACTTGTCCAAGTGCTTCCCATGAGAGAATCATTTCAAAATATTATCAGGAAATGTATTAATCTACATCCAATAATAAGTAAAAAGGTCATGTTTTTTTAAGGTATTACTGACGAAAATAGTGCTGATTTTGCTCTTTCTAATCCTTATTTCAATATTTTTTTCCGTGTTCATCTCTCTCCCTCTCTCTTAAATATATCATCTTTATCAGGTAATAGAGGAAGATATTCAGCATGAGTTGGAGGAAATGGAGAAAGAAACTGATATAGATGACATTTTGAGTTATAGATCTGTCGCTGAACGGGAACTAGAGGTGAAAATTCTCCTAGATATGTTTTTCCTTGTCCACATTGTAAAGCTTATGCACTTGGCTTCTTGTAGTAAAACCTTTGCGATCACCTTGCCTACGTGATCTGGCGGGAAACTTATGCTATTCTATTCTCTGTGACTCTGTGTTATTCTAGCTGCTACCATTTAAAATCAACTGAAAAAATATACATGGTTAGTTCTTAATTGATGATGACTATACATTTTCTTTGATTAGGATTTTTTGGTAAACTCATCACCGAGGTATGGGACCAATTGTGGAAATATTGACAAGTCTGAGGGAGATGATCGTCCTACTAGTAAGGCACGAAGCTGGTTGAATTGGTTGTCTTATGGGATGCTTGGAGCTGGAGGAACTGATGATTCTGATAGGTTTTCTGGTGTAATTTCGGATGATGTCATCAAGGTATGCATGCATTTGATTATTTGGATTTTCTCAACCATTCATGATTCTGTAAAAGTGGTAGATGATTATTACTGTATTATAATTATTGGTTCTGAAAACCTTGAATTTTCTATGTGCAGGATATATACGAGGCAACAAAATTCAATCCTGCGACTGTACTAGTTGGAGATTCTGCTATGATGGATGAAGTTTACTTTTCTTCTCTAAAAATCAACATATCTGAAATTCGCACCACGTTCTGGAGCATGTAAGCTAATCATTCCAATACTCTGGTTGTAGATTTTTACGATTGATATTTTATTAGAACTTTTATATATTACTTCTTTACATTTGGCATCAAATTGGAGCAAGGCTCGACTTTCTTTAGCTCTTCTAAAATCATGGAAAAAAATCAGGCTATGGGGAAGTGTAATACAGCTTGTTGAAGTACATTCATAATTCATTATGTAATGTATGGGGAATGCTAGATTTTGGCTTTTTACATGGTCTCATTGTCTGTTTGGATAGGTTGTTGGCTTGTAAAGTAAGAAGTTGGCCATAGGAAACTGTACTGTATATGCTTTTTTTTTTTAGGTTGTCAGTGTTTATGTTGAAGTGGTTACCTAAGTGGTTACCTACAGTCCTTCTATGGAGCCAATGGTTGGCTCCCTTATGGAGTCAACACCCAATTAAATTGCTCCATGTGGGGATGTCCCACATGGGCTCTATGTGGGACATCCCCACATGGAGCAATTTAATTGGGTGTCGGCTCTATAAGGGAGCCAACCATTGGCTCTATAGCATTATTGTGGTTACCTATTCTTAAAAGTTATGTTGGTGGTGCCCAGAGTTAATATGCCTTCTAAAGTGTATTCATTCATTGTGCAGTATATGGATTATTGTGATGTAGAGGCTAGTGATTGCTTTTATCGATAGCTTATGTTTAAAGTAAGAAGTTGGGGTTTGGATTAAGAAGTTGGGGCTGAAGGGCAATGTTCACAGAATTTGCTTAGTTTGTTAAGTGATTCTTTTGTATAAGAGCTATTTTGGTGGTAGCCAGGTTTAGGGGGTGATTGTTTATGAATCCAACTAGTTTTTATTTGGTTTGTTTTTTAACTATAGTTAATTTTGAAAAAAGGTGGTACGGTTAGATGTTAGTGGATATATTAAAATAATATTAAAATAAAATAATTAAAGTTGATTTGATGTAAAGTAGAAGAAAAAGATTGAAAGTGATCAACAACAAAGCCTTTTAGTCTCAAACAAGTTGGGGTAGGCTAGAGATGAAACCCAAGAGATACAGAAACACAAAGAAAAAAAAAAGCTCAAAATAAAACGAAAACAAAACAAAACTCAAAACAAAAACAAAACAAAAGGAAGAGATTGGAGCAAAAGAGAAAGGAGCAAAAGTCACGGTTCCTGCACGTTGATCGCTAGCCTCCAGGTGCTCCTATCCACCGCTAAAGATTGGAAGTGATGATTAGTTAAAAATTGTGTGAGTGGATGAATAGTGAATTAAAGTTGATGTTATATGTAAGAATGATTGGTTGATATTATTTAATTATATTTGTAATATTGGAGATAGTGGAGTTGAGTTAAAGTTGAGTTTTGATTGGTTTTTTTAGTTGGATTGATAATCAATCACCGCGTTATTGGTTTGACAACCGATCCCAGAATTCAGAGGCTTCTGGGTCCCCGACGCCGACAATGGTTTCCTCCGCCCCGCCTTCAGGAAACCGATCCCAGAATTCATGCATGATTTTTGGGGAGAGTGTGGTGTGAATATATGTCTTGTGAAGTGTCTTCCTAAAATTAAGCAATCTGAATATAGACATAAACGTAGTCCGGATGACAAAACACAGATGTTTTACGAAAGACCAGCATACCCAATTATTTGATCCTGAAATGCATTATAAACTTGAAAGCGAAAGTGAGTTAGTTAAGCGAAGACCGACTTTTGTTGCCTGCCATGGTGCATCTGAATGTGATTGTTGTAGAAACAATGTGCATCTTTGTAGTCCGTGCATTTCCACACCTTATGGCTTATGCTATTTTTTTCAATATTAATGTTTTCATGGTTCAAATGTTCATCTTAGTTATATATATATAACAAATTTATCATTTTTATTTTATGACTCAACTATGTCCTCTGCTGATATATATAACACACCATATTCGCCACACATCTTGCTTGTTGCATTTGAATTTTATAGAATCAGGTTCTGACTTCTGAGTCACACTGGTTGAGATTTTCTTTGTGAAGTTGCATTCTCGTCGTTCCAATGGATATTGATGGCAGTAGCATCGTAACAACTTGGTATGCATGCACATAAATGTTTGTGAAAGATTATGTTTGTTAGTATCCTCTAAGCAACTTTGGGTCATATCATTTACCGACACACTGTTTCTGTGCTGTGGAAATCAAATGTGTCAGTGAGTGATGGGAATTGTGAGAGGATTCAGCAAATAACCTAAGGCATGAAAAAGAAAATAATCATAATTGCAACCAAATGTAGTTGTAGTCAATTAATTCTGTTGATTTATTTATGGCTTTGATTTTATTACTGAAATGTTGAATTTTTGATATATTTGTCCTAAGAATGTATTATCCGTTTGACGTAAATTATATTTTTTTAGTCATAATGTAGTCATTATTATTGGTTGCCATGACACTACTTAGAGTAATATATGGCTCATTAGCTGTAGGATAATGTAGATGTGGTTTACATGTTGGTGGCATTTGGCTTATCTCGTCAAATATTGACTGTCCATTGAGAAGAAAAGTCGTTTCACTTTAGATGAATTTATAATTTACAATTATATTCCTCAAGTTACAAACTTACAGTCTTCTTTTTGTTATCTATGGCAGTTCAAGAAGTTACAAAAAGCTGCAACTATGAATAAAATTTCGAAAATTTGAGAGGTTTTATCGAAAAATATTTAATAACATCAGAAAATTTGTTAATTGAACTAGTAGGTAATGGAAATACGCAAAATGGAATCAACCATTGGGAAGACTTCTATAATTATTATTATTCCTTTTCTTTTCCGGAAATTATCCATGATCTTATTATCAGTATGCATTATGCTTATACTGATTATCCAAATATGGTTTAGGGAGCTGGGGTGTTCCATTGTTGATTTGATGCTCACAGGGATCTACATTGAGGGTAGGGTCTGGGAGAAATCTGCAACTATTATTGCTTCGGTCAACTCTGCTCAGATGTTTGATCCTGTTAACAATCAAGCTGTTATGTTTACAAAAAAGGTCTGTATGCTTTCACTTAATGTCATAAATTGGTTTCTTATATTTTCTAGTTATTGCAATTTTAAATGGCTTAACCCATTTCTATTTTCATGATACTTCATTTCTGTTTCTGGTGTATTAGACCAATGTTATCCAACTGTTTTGGCTAGTTTTATGACCTATCCAACTGAGGAAATAAAACTTGCGATCTAATCTGGATATATTGGTCTGGGCACACTGCAAATGAGTTGTCTGAATTCCCTGTTTCTTTTTAAATGAATTCCTTTGAGCACGCTTCTTCCCTTCACAATCTAATAAAAATTTGTGTGGCTTGAACTTTAGTAGGTTACTTCCCCACCCAACCCCATCATTTTCATTTAAAGGACTCATGGGGCTGTAAATTATTTGACAATTTTGGCCGTCTCGCTGAGGAGTCTTCTGCTTTTTATCTATGGCAAGAATTAATTTCAAACCTTTGTAGAGAAACCCTTTGATGATCGCCTTGCCTCTTTATTTTGGTATATACATGTATGTATTACATATATAATATACATGATATGTCGAGGATATATACCTTACTGATGTTGGTTTGGAGTGATATTTACAAACAAAACAGTACATACAACACAAACACACACACACACACACATATATATATATATATATGTGTGTGTGTGTGTGTGCGTGAGAGAGAGAG